GCATCATCATCACTACAGGAGGAGGAAGCGACAAACACGATTTGAAGGTGCTCTATAGGCAAGGCCTCAAGAGACTCGTAGGAGCCATTCACCATCAGTGGTACTCTTTGGAAACAGGAGAAACAGAGGATATTCTCCATTATATGATGAATGGGGTTAATTAAATCTTAAAGAACTCAAATATTGAGCCATCGTCTAAATTTAGACTACAAGAAAATGTATATTTAACTGATTGTTATTAAATGAACATCATATATCCTCTGTTTTTCCTTCAAGCTGCATGATTTAGGTTAAGTAGTGGGTAGTAAAATAATCACCGTCTTGTCTGGGTTACATCATCAAACAGTTCAGAAAGTCCAGCTCTCTGCTTCTGTTTCTTTCTTAGTGATGATCGGGGCTTATTAAAAGAGGAAAAAAGAATATTTATCATCATAATAATGCATAGGATTTGCTATTACCACTTAAGTAAACCTACAACACCACGGCTTATATCCCGCTCATCCTTTAAATGTTTGTTCATTTCTCTGCAAACACAAGAACAAAAAAAGATATATAATTAAATGTAAAATAAATATTTCAAGAAAAAAAAAACATAGTCCCTTAGTCATGAACTGTAAATACCTGAGAAGATCTAGCTGCTTCATGAGACTTTGCTTTTCTCTTTGAAGACCTTCAGTCACTCTGTACATCTCCCTAATGACAAAAAAACACATACAATTGAAAGTAAGAAGTGATGCAGTGCATTTGTACAAAGTCTCAGCACCCACATTTCCTTCTCCTGCTGTAGACGGGCAGCCTGCTCCTGCAGAATGGCCAGTTGTTCCTGGGCCAGCACCAGTTCCTGGCTTGTGGTGTCCAGCGCTCTGGAGAGCTCCTCATTTGTCATTTTTAGCTTGATATTTTCACTGTGACTTTCCTGTTTCTCACTGCTCAGCTCACGACACTGGGATTCTAACTGCATTAAAATAGGCATTTGTTACTGTCACAAATTAGTGTGTTATTATTAAGTCTATGTTTTATATTGTTTAGTTTTTTGACTCACCCTTTTCTGTTTCTGGAAAAGCTGCTCTAGTTCTTTTTCTTTTGAAGAGAGTTGATACTCAAGGTCTTGGCTGCGGACCTGCAGGCGTTCTGAGTCCTGCACAGGCATTTACATATCTTTAAGAGTAACACTGACAGTACATAACCAGGGGATTATGGCATATTAAGACAAAGTCACACAATATTTCAAAAGCAGTGATATTAAAAAAAAAATACAATAATTGCATTTATGATGTACTCTGCAAAAGCAAGTTGCTTGTACCTTCAATAACAACTTCTCTTTTTCATTTTTGATTTGTGCTTCCATTTCTTCATATAAATGTCGAATCTCACTGTCATGTGTTGCAGTCTTCCTAAAGATAAAATGAGTGTTTGGATAAAATAAATCTTGTTTGAAAAACTGAGAAGTACTATATTCAGCATAAGTACCAATACAGCCATTATACAAATACATATTTATACCACGACATTCCTCATTCAAAACAAAACCAAGTGAAATGATAAAATATACTGACCATGGTATTTTTCAATGATAACTTCTTCAAAGCATAGGCATTAATTTATTCCCATTCAAGCAGCTGTCAAACCTCATAGTGTGCCTCAAGATTAATGGTCATTTGACACAGCTAAAGGGGGTTGTGCTTGTCAGAGAATTACAGGTAAATCCATGCAACAATTTCTATTCTGCAGTCTAGCCATATACACAGATATAAACACTGGTTAGAAATCATGTTATGTCACTAATGCTTTAGCTAGAAAACAAGAAGAATGCTGATATTCTACAAATCCCTAATTTAAAAAATAAATAAATAAAAATTGAGAAATCAACAGATTATTTGAGTGGCAGATGAATTAAGATAAAATGTTCTTAGTTTTCACATACGTTTTCTTACCTTTGAAGTGCACTTTCCATTTCCTTCTTCTCTTGGTGGGCTTCTTTGATCTGGTGAGTAACACGAGCCAAAAACTCCTCAAAGTTTGACAGGAGATGAGGTTCGTCTCGCCGTAGTTGAGCCCAAAGACTGCGCACCTCGTCTGGGCTGCAGGAGAGAAGTGACACGGTTTCTCCTCTGGTCATGACCACTTTCAAATTGTCCATCAAAATGTATTTCATCTCCAAAAGTCATCCCATCCCGTTCATGTCCACAAATATGACACTCACTCCTCAAACAAATTACTGGCCCCCAGGCTCTCCATCAGCATGCAGAAGTGCCTCTCTTCCTCATCTTCTACTCCAGCCAACTTGGCCTCCCACTGGCTCTGATACAGGGCTTCTGTGGCTCTCAGGATCGAGCAACGAAGTGCACTTTGGTCATCAGTTGAAGGTATCCGCCGACCGTGTAGGAAAAGGGCTGAGATGTGACATCAAGAAATTCATTTGTTATTATATTTCTGGCGTAATAAAGTCTAATAAAGTCTCTCTTTAGCTAAAATATTGATTAAAAATGTGATAATTCTGATCATTTGAATATTTCAGGTGCAAAATTATATCTGAAAAATAATCATGAACTTTTTAGTACAGAGTATAAAACAGGGAGAAACTAACAAAATCCTGAAGAGAAAGCCTCCAGCGTGAGGAACCCAGTGTGGTCTATATCCAGAGAGTCGAATACATCTTCCAGCTCCTGAGCTGTCAGAGGCAGCTCATTGTGCAGCCTCTGCCGAGAAACAGCACAGTAGTGAATTATTTTCATGTCCAGCAATTAAAAGATAACGTGAACAAAATAAAACGTATGTCAGTTAAACAATTTATTTTCTGTAAATATTATTTTTGGAAAACAAAGTACAATTAATTAAACAAAAAATGATTTCAGTCTTTTCTCTTTCATTTTGTGTTAGCCATTAGTTTTCCGTTTTAGTGTAATTTTCCTTGTCAAAATCTGCACAGGTGTGAACAATCAGAAAGAAACCAGATTACTCACATCAGATGTAAGTGTCAACATGTCATTTAAATACTTTGAAATCAAATATTGATTAGAATTTTGGTAGGCCACTGTAATGTAAAGATGTGCCTTTAAGAAGAACACAGTAGTCTATAAAAAGTAGCACCAATTAAAAGAACTCATTGTTTTGTTGATATTGTGTATGTATACGTCACTTAGTGTGTAGACCCTTTTCTGGGAACTCGACACAAACAACAACAAAAGCACGGATGGTCACAAGAATCTTGCCCTCATTATACAACAACACTAGACACTGAAGAGGTCTCTGCTTTGTTCTCTTTCAGCCACTGAATTAACATGTGTTTAGTTGACCTCTACTTGAACATTTTATGTTTGTGTTCAGTGTGCCATGTAGGTGATGAATAATAATGTGTAAAAAAAAGTGTTTGATATGGGGAACATTTTCTAACCCTCATATCCGTTCGAGTGATGAAGCCTTTGCCCTCCATGTCACAGATTTGGAAGAACTCCTTGGTCTTGTCCAGAAGAGCGATGGGTCCCCAGTCTGAGCCTCTCCGCGCAGGACGTGGCCCAAAACCATTGATACTAATTTCCTCCTCCATTCCTCAAAATATTTTTAAGACAGTCTACAAGGAGCGCAAGTCAAACATCCTTCTTGCTATACCAGTGGGCTAGGTCATCAATGAGCACCCTAATCTTAACATATAAAAATATAATTATAAAATGTAGTTGCAGTAAATGAAGAAATGTGCCTCCAGTTCCTAAGAAACACAAAAGTAACATTTCATTTTACAGTGGCATGACTTTGTTTCATTCTTATTAACATATTAAAAATGTGATAATGTTGCATTATAAATCTCAACATTGCTATACTGTAAATCTAGAACAAGCAACTCACAGAGGTATGTAAACACCGGGTTAAGGATTATCCTAATACCAATCCATACTGAACACATGACAGTGTAATGCCTGCAGGACCGTGGGAGCCAGTCCAACAGGATAAAAATGAATACATTTATTGCTAAGGCTTATGCTGTGGTTTGTTAGTATCACACTTTAACTGATGACCAAGACATAGGCAAATTTTCACTTGAGATGAATTATGTTTAATGATTAATTTAATAAAAGTGCAATTACTGTTCTAAAACAGAATCATTATCACAAGAAATTGTATTTGCTACACTGATATAAGCACACATTCTTTAATGGATTTACAATCAGCTTAAAACCATTCAATAACAAAACCGAAAACATATCTTGCCTAGATTATACAAGCAAATGTAGTAATATACAGAGAGCTGGCAAATAAAATGTTGTCATGATAAAACAGAAAAATATCCATACCTTGGTAATAAGTAAATATTAAGTCTTTCTGTGCAGCCACATTAAGCACATTGGTCAAGTCCTTGGTTTGTGGATTTCTGCTTCATAGACGTATGTTGGAAAGTCACTCTGAAACCATGTGATGTCAGGAGGAAGCAGCCCAAGGCGTTCCAGCCTCCGTCCAGACGATACTCCTGATGTGAAGGGGCAGTACAACCAGCCCTTTAACAAAGCAACACGTGTGCATTGTAGCTATGGCGACACAACACTCAAGGCCATAGGACGTCTATCAGAAAAATACGCATAAAACTCAAATTTAACACCTAATTTCAAACAAATTAGTAAAACAAGCAAAACCAATTGTGGTACTAAGGGTGTTCACTACCACAGAATAAGCAATACTTAGGATTAACAAATGAGTGTATAAAGGCTGTAAAAAAGGGTGAAACAGATTTCAAACGTTTTCACTTTGCCCTCTTGTGGCCTACTCTAAGCAGGCGATTTTAAGACTTACTCTTGATGTATTGCTGCACATTATGGCTTTGCAAGTGAAAATAACAAATAAATGGTACTGTATATTCAAGGTTATATTGGCAATGTGGTTTACATTAACCCTTTCTGACAATCTGTGCTTGCTTTATGCTATCCTCTGTACAAAGTATTTTGTAGTTTAAATCCAGTGGATGTGTTGGATTCATTTTTTATACTGATGACAGGAGAATACAGGCATCGTAACTTTCACCTTACTATTTTTAATATCTACTTTACAGTCATCTTTAGTCTAAAAAGGATTTATCCACAACAGTAACCAAGACAGATAGGTGATCTGATCAGAGACAATAAATAAAAGATTACAATTTATATTTACAAGAATTCAAATTATGCAATTTTCAGCCATCATTTATCAGTTCTTTGAATTTTCTGCAGTAAATATTCCATCTGGAGGTTTAGGTTGGGCTGTCCTTTCTTTGTCTTTTTACAGAGCATCTGATAGTTCTCCATCTTTTTCTGCTTGTACTTCTGCAGGGCTTCCTCGCGCTGCTGCTTGTTCTTTAGATACTCCTGTAAGTAAACAAATAAGTCAGCCATCTCAGAAATAAATAAGACACGCAAAACTTAAACTGAAGTTCACCAAGAAATTGTTTCCTCACCTCTTGTTTCTTTCTTCGATTTTCTTTGATTCTTTCAAACTCCTCTTGTGTTTTCTGATATGATGTTTTCTTTAGCATCCTCTTTCGCATTCTGTTGCTCATGGGAATGCTATAAAAATAAAAAAATAGACAAGACATGCTGGTAACACTTTATATAAGCTACACTATTTCCAGGCTTAACACAGCATGAAGAAAGATAATTTACATTGCATTATTCATTCACTCCACACTTGGTGGTGGTAAGCTAATACTGCAGCCACAACTGTCTTGGGGTTGCCTGGCAAGTTCACAGTCTGTGTGTATGTTTCGGAGAAGTGTGTAGTCTGGATCCCAGGCAAGCCCTGAATGTGCACTGAATCAGCCGAACCAACCACAACCAACAGTCACGCATGCAACACATTCATACTAGGCAATGTTGGTCAAATGTCTTGCCTAAAGACCCAACTACAGTTTCCACTAGAGCCACTGCTGCCCCAAATGTGACACCTAGTACCAGGCTTTTACCTCATCTGTGCCTCTTCTTCACTAGGTTCTGTTTGTTTAATGTCAGAGTTGGGTTCTGCTTCCTCAGTAATACTTGGATTCCCTTCATTTTGGTCCATTTGTGTAGCAGCCTCAGCTATACGTGGATCTTCTTCCTTGCCTTTCATTCTTAGTTTGCTCCTGTTCACTCTGTTGGCCCAAGCCTCTTTTTTCAGCTGCTCTTTCTCGGCTAAATAAAGATGCTTGAGATGCTCTGGAAACTCGTCTTTATACACGTTTTTAGGGGCTATAGTTTTCTTCTTCTCCCTCCGTAGCAGTTTAAAGTATTCATTCTTGGCTTTCTGCTTCCTCTTATAAGCAAATCCTTGACCTAGAACAGATATAGAATACGAACCATAACGAAATTAGAAAATTTAACAATTTTATGTCAAATCAATCAATGCAGTACTCTAGAAAACGTGAGGTTATAACTGGGAAAATATTGTATTTACCTTCCCTAACACTTCCTTCAAACTGTTTATGCTGCGGAACCCATTTCTTCTTGGTTTTGGCACTTGTTACATTCTTTTTAGATATTCCTTGCTTGCCTCCTTTTCCGTCGATGGTTTTATGTTTCATTTTCTAATTTTGGCCTGATTGTGGACGTGTATAAGGTACAAGTTAAATGTTTACCACCCGCACGCGGAAAGAAACTTGTGAGTGGAAAAACCAAGACGCGTTCTAATGACGCAAAACAGGCATTAAAAGTAGATTTCGGCTCAAATATGTCTTTTCCAAACAAACAATATTATTTTATTTACATTTTATAGATTACTTTCTGTATTATTAATCTCAACAGTGAAAATTATTGGGACTTAGTCGTATGATGAAAAATAGAAACACGTACACAATTATCTGTGCATTTTCTACTGCTTATGCCTAGAACCCTTGAGGAGGAGAAGACTGCTTACATGTACCACACCGGTCTTCTTTAAAAATTAATTTTATACATGATGCTAGCTACACTGAGCCTCACTCACGTTCAGCAAAAGATAGATGAAGTCAAGCAGTTTCTGGCTATAGCAATGAGGATCGCTAACGCGCACACTGTAGAGTTTTACACCCACGATGTGTGGAGTCGCTTCATGGCTGTGGCACCAGAGGAGGTGCTGTCAGCTGTCAGTGCGGATCAAGTCCACCAGAGGGAGCACAGTTGCAAGGAAAATGGTAAATATCAAATTTCTCCTATTCTTTACTTTATATATTTTCTGTTCTGTATTTTATTCAGGCAAAGATTGCATATATTATTATATAACTTCGAGAGTATAGGTAGTGGATTGACCTGATATATATATATATATATATATATATATATATATATATATATATATATATATATATATATATATATATATATATATATATATATATATATATATATATATATATATTAGTGCTTTACATGCAACAGAAAAATTAAAATCAACAGCACCTTTTCATCCATATATAACAATTTAAACAGAAACATAGAACATAAACATAAAGCTCCTAAAGGTTATAGTAAAAATAAAAATGGAGAGCTAAAATCAGATGGAGACTAAGTAAAATAGTAATGATAATATAATTCAAAATAAATATAATAATAACAATATTTTACTCTTTTATTCTTTTAGGGGAACAATCCACATTTGGCTTTTGCCCTGAATCCCACCATCTAGTAAAAATCTCTGAAATGCTGGAAGCAGCAAGGATGCATTCGCTTCCTGGTCTGGGCATCTGTTTCAGTAGAGAGGAGCTGCTACTCTCTGTGCAGAAAAACTGTTCAAATTCAGGTTCTTCAACAAAAACTGCAGGTGTGAATATTAGATTAAAATATTATTTGTAATATTCATACTGGTTCAAATCCTCTGCCTTTGCTCTGCAGCAGGTGCAACTCTTGAAACTGATGAATTTATGAACTCTAAGAAGTCCCATGAAGTCCAGTGTATGTCTGAGGTTGTAGCCCAATTAGCTCAGCAATGTCAAGTCACACAGGTAACCCACTGGAAACTAACTAACTATTTAATCAATGATAACCAAATCTATATTTCCCCATAGATTATAGATGTTGGCTCAGGAAAGGGCTATTTGAGCTCCTTCTTGTCAATGCAGTATGGCCTTCAGGTGTATGGTATTGACTCGTCCAGTACAAACACCCACGGAGCCCGGGAGAGAGATCGCAAGCTCAAAAAGTTCTCTAAGGCCTTCCAGCAACACAGCAAAGCAAAGAAAAGGAACACACTTGAAGGAGAAATAAAGTCTAATATCATAACACAAACTGACCAAAGAAAAGAAGTCGAAAAGACAGAACTACCATTGTCATCAGTGGAGGATTTGCCTAATGTTATAGAGGAGCATATGGAACCAAACATGACAAACCAAGAATCTTCAGAAGACTTGTTTTTAAATGCATTATCTTTAGATGTGATTGAAACAACATCTTCGAAGGTACCTTCTTGCCAACTGACCGAAGAGGAACGAGAGAAGAGAAAGAAGAAGAATTTGGAAAGAAAAGCCCAAAACACAAGTAGAAATGAAGGTCCCTTGTTTTCACCCATTACATCTTATGTTACTGCAGAAACTGAACTACGAGAGTTAATCAGTGAACTACAGGTGAGCAGAGCAAAACTGTATTCACAAATCTATTTATGTCAATAGATAAGTTTAGTGAAGTAAGCTAATCTTTATGAATATATGTTTACATCTACATCTCTTTTTTCCAATACTCTAGGCTGCGGTCCTTGTGGGCTTGCACACTTGTGGGGACTTGGCTCCCAGCTCTTTGAGAATGTTTGTGGCTAAAGCAGAGTTAAGTGCAGTTTGCAGTGTGGGATGCTGTTATCACCTACTCTCTGAAGAGTTTGACCCCACAGCTGAGGGTAAATATATGCACACACATAGACATTCAAGTCATATTTTTTTTTTATGTATTTATTTATTTAAACAAATTTTATGCAAATCATTCTCAACTTTTTCTTATCTATACCATCTCAATAGTCCTCACTGCCTAGTTGTGAAAAACATCTATATTCACATATAAATTGTATAAACACAATGTTGCTTTTATTACATGAATTAATTTTGATTTTCCAGGGGTCTCAAACCTTTTACCTCTTTTTCCCTTTCCTCTGGGCTGAGCTACCTGTGGAAAAACAAAAATGCAAGAGAGCTACTATTTCTACAGAGTGCAAGAAATAATACAGCTAATGATATAATGGTACAATGGTAATAGGCCTCTGATTAACAAAATGTTAGTTATTCAGCACAATACATATAATTTAGAAATCCTTGGTGAGGTACTTGGAAGAGGGTGTAGAGCTACTGGTAGCTCCTGAGCTACAGGTTGGAGACCCCTGGTCCATAGTTTATAAATACTCTAACTGCCTCAAAATAATAATTGTTTATACCAACTGGGAATTAAGCCAGTTTGACTAGTGGCCTACTCAGCTTTAAGCTGCTGCTAAAAATAACATTTTATAAGTAACCGATTAATAGAATAGAATGATTAATATATAAAGCTTTTTAGAATCACTCAACCTGACACTGTTTACTCACAGAGGCGCCATCCTTACTCAGATAAGTATGTGAGACATAATCCAGGGGCTAAACATTTGCACAGATATACATAAGTTCATGTCTGTGTCTGATATTATGCCTTTAGTCTCTGAGGCTTTTCACTAAACCCTGTAAAACAATACCAAATACACATATTTATGCAATTAAGGTCGATTTAAGTAGCTGAGAAAGATAAATTTAAAAGTGCAATCTGATCTGAGCTCTTACTTCAGTAAGATTGAATACTTTTCGAGTTATTTTTAGCAATGAAAAATGCATAAATGTGAGTGAGATGGCTATGTTCAGCGTCATTCTGAGGAATATTCTAGGCAAAGCAATAACATCAGAAAAGTTATATAGTGCCCCTTGAAAGGAGCAAAAAATGAAAGATAAGGAAGAAGTTCCACAGGAAGCTGATGCTGCAGCACTCTTTTGTTATGTTCATAGCAGTTTGTTAGACTCATCAGGCCATACCTGCACATGTGTTGTTAGTGTTTCCTCTAACTGTATCCCTTTGGGTTCATTGCTCCTGCCCTCTCTCACTGACCCTTTCAGATGACATGAAAGGATGTTGGGCTGTCAAGGACTCAACATACCCACTGAAATATGTGTGCCATGTTCAAGGCTGTATGTAAATGATATGACAAGATTTATGCTGAATACATTATAATATGTTTAGCTGCACAATGTCAGTTTTCCAGTGGAAAGCAGGAAGGAAGACCTGCTTGTCTCAGTGGAGAATGTGTTCCATAGTATGGCTTTAAATGTATCTATGTTTCATTTCTTCATCTACTGATGTTTGTATTGCTAAATAAAATGTTGATAAAAATTAATTATTTTAGTAAACTGACCTGTAACCACCAGGTGGTGTCACTTGCTTATCTTGATACTCGGAGATTAATATGTTTTTATGCCATAATTATGTTCATAAGAGATCAATACAACTTTAAAATCTGTCTTTTTTCCTTCTAGAGGGATCACATGCTGTAAATGGATTTCCTTTGAGTCAGTACCTTCGTGACCAGTCCTGGTTTTGTGGAAGAAATGCCAGGATGTCTGCGTGCTTGGTGAGGACACGCTAACTAACTGTCTAAAGTGTAATAAAAGAAACCTATCAAATTCACATTGTTGTAGCTGTTTATTAGCATTTTTATGGTAAAGGTTACAGCCCTACCAAAGCTCTTAGCTGTAAATAGGAAACACTGTACATAATAATGCATTTATTAGTCCTTTACTAGGGGTCAAGATTACATGTAATTGAACTTGTTTTGTTTAACCACAGGCATTGGAGAGGTTTTCCCATGGCCAAGGGGTGAGTTAGTCCTTTCTATTGTTACTATGTTAGTTGAATATAAACTGGCAATATTTTTTGAATAAAATGCAGAAAAAAAAGGAAATCAGGTCAGTATTAGACTTCAATACACTTTTTCGATCTAAGGAAATTACTGGGACAAAGTAGTTCACAAATAATAAAGAAGAATATTGTTTTTAATAACAAAGAGCAAATACAGTGATGATAATAAAACTCTAATTAACAATTATGAAACCATGTATCAAAAAGTGCAGAAATATACATATGTAAAGTTATATATCCAATTTGTGGGATAAGGAAATACAGTGCAAAAATGAGAATGATTGACATGACAATATCATTTTTAGTTACATGGGGTTGTAGATGCTTTTAACACTATTTTAAGTCTACTGCAGTTACCCCAACCCCCCCACCCCCCAATTTCCCCCAAATTAGGAAACGACTGTGGTAAATGTATTTAAAATATGCATTACATACCTTCATGCTAAAACTGATACATGATACTACCAGCTATTAATATGGAATGTTTATAAATATTCATGCAATCAAAGGGAGATTGATTGTGTCTCACTAGTTGTGCGTCAAGCCTAGAACTATACTTTCAATCTAGAAACACCTCTAATTGTTTGTGACTGTGAAAAATATTCATCCAATTAAGTCCTTGACATCTGTTTGTTTTTGTTCAGATTCCGTTGGAGTCTTTGTTTTATCGGGCTGTACTGCATGTTATACTCAGGGACCACTATGGATCATTCAAAAGGTAATGCACTACAGACTAGTGAATAACATCTGGAGAGTGTTTTTTTCAGATTTGAATACATTTTTGGAGATTAAACTGTAAAACATTAAGCACAGCCTAATCTTTTACTTTGTCTTTATATAGCTATTTACTTTTTTATATATATTCCCTGAAGTGAAAGGGTCTTTATAAAACTGTTAGAACCTCTTGTCAAGGCCATATACACCTTTATGTTGTCCATTAATGTGTCTTGTGTTACAATTTAATGGACATTGGATTTTGGAAACTAATATGAGATGGGTGATTTGACAAAAAAT